GCTTATGGTGCTCCAAGTTCCAAGCACATAAATACCATCACTAACAAAACTTGTACAACTGGAGTTTAGCCTTGGCATATCTACATATAGGAATTAGATAATACACAATACATAATTGATGAATAATGGCTTACAAGTCTTTCTGATATAAACTGGTTTTGAATACATTAGACCAAATGAGTTGTTGGCTCTACAGTAGTAATATCCAACTGTTAAGTTATTAATTGGATTTAAAAGAAGAGAACTGTTCCACCACACATATCCTTCATCATCAGAGTTAGGACTGTACACAATATTAGACACTTTACTACCACTGATGATAGTGTAGTCACTGGATCTATTAGATATCTCATCAGTACTATACAACCATGAGACTTCAAATGGAGACTCTCCATAAACAGAACAGTTCACATGCACTGTCTTGTAGTCCAAATAATAGAGAAATGGATCTTGGAATATAACTGGACCTATAAGCAAATTATATTAATTAGAAATTTTATACTAACCATTCATTGTTGTATTATCATTGTCATTATAACTTTCTTGTTCAATATCTGGTTCATTTAGCTGTTCAGCACTTGAATACCACAAAAGAAGTTGCAGACACAAACACAAGCTAGTAACTGCCATTTTAAAGTTGTCTAGCACTGTCCGTATGTATGCACAATTATAATGAAATTATTGCCATGTATTCTTAATAATTATAACTCTACTTACAAGGGTGGGGCAAGAGTATTTTTCTCACCATACTTTGTTTGCTATCATGATGTAATGTTGTTGCTTTAGGTAAAGAGAATTTTGCCTTTGTGTTGTCTTGTTTGTAATAAAAAGTAATTGACAGCCAATAGTCAAAATTTTGGGAAATATAACATCTTGACTTACAACTATACTGAAACTTTCAGATGTTTGTATTTTTTGTTTGATTCTTTTGTCCTGTCTATCCACTCATACTTATGGACATTAGAAAAAGCCTGAATCCAGAAAGTTCTCATATTGTTAAAAAATAATTAATTTTCAGTGTGTTTCAATACTTGTTGAATTGTGGATGACATTATGATATAAGCACATTTGATTGTAGTAATTGATTTACTTCTAGTATATAAGAATGTGTGGCATAAGTGGGCATGGGCATAATCACATTTTTATACTAGGAATTGTTATTACAGTGATGCTATCTTATAATTATGCATGCATGACTTGTGGGATCACCCCTCAATACATATTTCATTCCTACACCTATGTCAAATGACTGTACAGTCATATCTTGAAACTTTAGTGGTTGTATCTCTGACCACTAGATTCATCACAATGACCAGGTCAGCGATGAATTAGTCTAATCACTTATATAGGTCTATATGACCCATGACCATACTTTAGAATTTGTTTTGCATTACATTTATGATCAAAGTTATTGTGTTGTGCTTACTAATGTTCCCATTTAACATTTGAGTTGTAACAATTATCAGCCATGCCTGTTTTCTATCATAATGCTTTGATCATGTTTGGATGAAAAAGCCATCACACAAAATACAAAAGCAACATCCAAGTCTTTTTTATGAAATAATATTTTAGTTGTAAAAATTATCAGCCATGCTTGTTTGCTATCATAATGTTTTGTATGAAGAAACATGACCAATGATGTCATGTTTGTATAAAGAAACATGACCAATGATGTCATGTTTGTATGAAGAAATATCACAGAGTCTTTTTTGAAATGATTGTGATAATGACCCATGCATATAATGCTTATTAGCATTTCAGATGATGTGCGTATTAATTTTAAATAATTCTGCATGGCCTATAACATCAGTTTTTGTGGCATAGTGTGCATACACATTAAAATAGAGGGAATTACTAAATTATATTTTTAATGCCATTATGGATTAAGACACTTGTGCTATGAGGAATATTTATGGGTTGAAAGTTAAATTTGCAAATTTCTAAAATAATTTTGGTGATTGGCGGATTGTAATTTGGCAAATTCGTGGCCACATGCCATTGAGCATGCACATAACGGTTCAAAATGCTGGATTTTAATTTTGGTGAATGGCTATCAAAACGCCAAATTTGTCCCCTCGAAAATTTCCCACACTATACGATAGCTTATTTATTATACTTTTTGTTAATAACTATCATGTAGGGGGAATCCAACCTGCTTTGTTGAGAGGCAGCTTATGAGAATAATTGACAAGGATCACAGGTAAGAATGATGCACCCACACACAATCTAAACCAGAGGAAATGCACTTAATTGTATACCGGGTATATATATTTGCATATAGAAAGCTAAATTTTTAGAAGTGATTGTGTCAGCTCTGTATATAGATTCAAATCTGTACATTCTATAAGCAATTCTTAGAAATCATGAATTTGAAATACAATTTTAGCAACAACAATTACATATTTTTGTGTAGCAATCAACTATCTAATAATAGAGAAATCAATTACATGTAACTACTTCTAATTAATTAGC